TTTGGCCACTGAAAATGTTGAAAAGTGATTGTAATGTTTCATATGGTGCTCATAACATATTGAACATGATATTAGAATTGCAATTGTACATAACATTGCATATGCACGGAGACATCGCATTCGTGGGCATTGACATGAGTGTGGGTGAGTGTGCATGTTTTTGAATCAAAACACCATTCTTGGTGATTAAGGTGTGGACTTGGGAAGGTTGGACTTAAGTCCGACTGAGTTGCATGGTTGCATGAAAAACTTGTGTTGGCTATAGCAAGAAGGGTTAGATTCTCTCTCAAGTGCAAGAACCGATTATTGATTTATACACTTATGTCGGTGAAAGTCTAAAAGAGTGTATCGGTGTGCGGAACTAGTGGTGAGACACTAGAATCTATGAACCCAAAGAGGACACATGATTTTATTTTATAAAATGGTCATTTTATGTATAGTATCAATGGCAGGGGCTTGGAATGCCCGATTTCATATGCATGACATTGCATGTGTTGAGGGAGTCCATGAAGGCTCGGGTTGCATTCATGTGTGGGTCTAATCTCATAACATGGCATGACATTGAAGATCAATTTTGAATTGCAAATTCTTAAATGGATTATTTTTTGCTTATGAATTGTATGTGAACATCTCATCTACATCTAGATTGGGGAGTAGCCTATTTAGGAGAATATTTCATATATGGAATATACGCCAGTGGACGGCTCTCATTCGGGCTCTTAATGATGAAGAAAAACCAACATGTGGCTTTTAAATCATGTTTTTGTAAAACTTTATGTAAATTTGCTTATGGACATGTAATTGTATGAAATGGATTGTAATCGAACTCGTATGGACTATGTTAAATGTAAAACTTCATGTTATATGAGTTGGGTTGATGAGGTATGAGTTTGGAATAGATTGGAATTGAAAGCGGATGCAATTGGCAAAAAATTTGGCACACCTACCAGTAGATATGATCTAGTAGGCAGGTTTTACCGGTAGAACATCAAGTTTTGCCGGTAGAACATTTCCAATAGGTTCTCCTATCGTTAGAACGTCAAGTTTCCTATCGGTAGAAGAATTCCAAACGGTTTTTTCTACTGGTAGAACGATGAATTCTTCTACCAGTAGATTTTCTCAAGTTTTCTAAAAACTGGAATCCAATGAGCATAATTACCGGTAGGACTCAGAGGTCTTTTACCAGTAGGTTTTCTTCAAACTTCAAATTTTTTAGATAATTTTGCTATGTCCTGGGCATCGACTCCTTGCCCTCAAAGGAGGTTTAAGGGGAAATTATAAGTATAAATGAATGAGTATGGGACTACAGATTGGTCAATGATAAAAGGCACACTAGTTATCCATGTGGGTTATGAACCCAGTTTAGGGGTTATTATTGATGTGATATCAGGTTGTGCGGCATTCACGAGTACTTCCGCGGATTGATGGGTGATCAACGATTGACAAAGGACCCTCGATTTTAGGGATGTCACACTGTGGGCGTGGGTGCCACGAGCGCTATAGGTGCTGCAGGCTTAGGCACCACAGGCACCGTAGGTGTTGCGGGCTTAGGCGCCACGGGCGTGGACGCTTGGACTCTGGGCGTTCGTGCTGTGTGTTGGGTGCCTAGCTGGTGGAGTATTAGAAAAGTATGAAGAAGTGGTAAAAATTTTAACAGCTATAACTTTGCACTCAATTGTCCGTTTATGGCAATTTTTTTTTTAAATTCAGGTATTTTTTAGATCTACCAGAATCATACCGCATACGACGATTTGGTCAAGGAATTTCCCTAAAAAATCTTATTTTTCACTGAATTTGAATTTCAACCACAAATTAATGAAGAAGTAGAACTTTCACGTGTCTACTTTCCGTATTCCCTTCTACGTGAGGACTCAGATTGCCTGGCTTTGGTGACTTCCTCAATGTTCATGTATTTCTAGAATTTTGATAGTAATTCTAGCACATTCTTTGGCAGGTGCTTCCAGAGTTTAAACGTGAGACTTGATGAGCATAGGCCTTTTGTGAAGGCCGCCATGACTACTGTTTTATCTAGTTCTTCATTCTGGAGGACTTCTTTGTTAAAACAAGTGAGGTAACTCCTTAGGCTTTCATCCTGATCAAGTTTGATACTGAGCAAGTGGGTGGTAGGCTTCTAGTGTCGGTATCCCCCAATGAAGTGTGAGACAAAGGACTTGCTTAGTTTAGTGAAAGAGTCAATGTAAGTTGGGGTAACCTTGGTGAACCACTAGCGGCTAGATCCCTTGAGGGTGGGAGGGAAAACCCTGCACATGATCTCGTATGGTATGTTGCACAGTTGCATAAGGGATTTGTAGGTGTCAAGGTGGTCCAATGGATATTTGGAGCTATCAAAAGCTTCCATGGTTGACATCTTAAACTTTAAGAGGGAGTGGATAGTTGGCCACATCAACTGCAAATGGAGTGTCAGTGTGCCTCACAAGGTAGTTGACTATTTCTAGCTCACACACCTTGATGGCGTTGAAGACGTTGCCAAGCTAATTTTGCACTTCCTTGATTTTTTAGTTCCATTGGTTAGAGACACCCTTTAAAGGACCGTTGTAGTGACTTTCGTGGTCCATGTACTAGTTTTTCCCTTTGTCTTCTTGCATGAAAGTATCACTAGTATGGGAGGAAGGAGCTGGCGCATGAGGAGGATCCGAGGAGCCTAGGTGCTGAGGTAGGATGCCCAGGTGCTAGGCACCCTGGCGCTAGGGCCTTGCTAAGGGGCACCTTGGCACCTTGGGCAGATTGCTTGGGGTGCTTCTCTTCTTGGGGGCTAGGGCACAACTCCTTGAGGGTGTCCGTCAAGCATCAGTTGGCAGGATTTGTAGGTTTTGGTTCACCAACAATTGCATTGTCTCCAGTAGTTGTTGTCCAGTTGTGGGATTTACCGTAGTGAAAACAGATGATGCACAAAATGTGTTTATGCACCACCTATCAAGTATTTAATGCGGTAATGAATAATGAGAGTCAATACAAGCAAAATACAATTTAAGTGGTTCAGTCAAAGTGACCTATTCCACTGTGAAAGGCTTGCATGACTTGAGTGTTTTGTTGCTTAAAGGAGTGTTGAGTGCTCAAGTGTGAGTGATATGTGAGATGTCCCCTTGTATAGGTGGGGTTTACAATTTATAGGCATCTCCTAACAGATTGAGATACCTTTCTCGTATCAGTTAAGGTAGTTTGGTGGAGGTGTCACTCTTCTCGTAACAAGTGAGACAATTTCATGGAGGTGGTAACGTGCGCATTCTAATGAGATCTCTTTGCCTGTCAGTTATGGATTGACTTTCTCACAATGAGGCGGCTGACTTGACTCTCTCTCTCTCTCAAGGTGGCATGGTAGACCGAACTTCCTCCTTCCTGCGATTAGGGGTGTTCACTCTACCGTATGGGTAAGAATTATGGCCATCTGCCTACTCGATACATTACGGAAATTTATTTTTTTTTTGCCTACCCTACCAGATCAAGTGTACTATCCCTACCCAAATTGCATCCAAAACAATTGGATAGGAAGTTGGGTGAACACATATTTTTTAATAATCAAATTTTGGATCATTTAACTAACACAATGAATTCGATAATACATAAATAATTATACTAAAGCACAACAAGAAAGTCATAAACATCAATACATCATATATAAAAGCTATAAACATCAATAAAACATTAGGGTTTCTAAATTTTTTGATATTAATTTTTAGGGATTAACCTATATATAGCTATAAACATTAATAAAACATTAGGGTTTCTAAATTTTTTGATTTTAATTTTTAGGGATTAACCTATATATATTTAGCATTCCTACCCAATTTTTTTGCGGAATACCAAAAGATCTTTCGTTGGTCTACCCGATTCTTTCGGGTAACTAATCAATAAGATCAAGTAGGGTAGGATAGGATCTGAAATTTGAACACCCTACCAGTGATGGATCTAGCCTGCATTCCTAAATTGGCATCTGAGCTGGGTCTCATCTGTGATTCTGGGTCTGGTCCATAATTTTATGTCTGGCTTATGCCGAACTCGTCAAATATTATTGATTGTTGATACCCTATCACATAGTCATGTGGTATCACTGTTGTAATTAATATTTTCTCGATTTTGTAATAGTGTTTTTGAGCTGCCCCCCTTCTCTCTCTCTCTCTCTCTCTCTCTCTCTCTCTCTTCATGTCAAAAGTATGATGTTGGTTGCCAATAGAATCCAACAATGGATGGAACTTTGGTCCGTATATGTAGTTAAATTTTCCTACTTTTGAACCAGTTTATGGAATTTCAATTGATGTCTCTGATTATGATTTGAATAGGTTCTAAAATTTAAGAAGAAAAAAAAATAACAATAAAACTAAAATTACTAAAAAATTATGTCTTAACCTCCTTAAAAACAAATCTAGTTCAAATTTACTATCAATCTTTCAATCATTCATTCTCTTCTTCTCTCTCTCGTACCATAAAGTTTAAATATAGTAACAAAAACTTGAATATAAAATTTTAATTAATATTTTTATATTTTAAAAAATTAAAAATTAAATTTATTATTAATATTAATATTAAAAATAAAGAAGTGTCTAAAATGTCTTAAGGCGCCCCTAACCATCTGAAGTGTGTCATAGGAGAAGAAGCCGAGCAATTTCCTTGCAAGATCAAGTGAATATCTTTGGTTGAGCTAGCTGATAAGGTAAGACTTTGGTACGAAAAGATTATTGTATTAAAAATTACAAATTGATAAAGTCATCATTTAATGTTGATTTATGACTAAAAAAGTTATAATTTATTGGTAAATATTTGGATAGTTTCTATATAATATTATTTTGAATGCCATCACAATTCACAAACAGGAGAAAAGACTACAGTACTTATTATTAAATTAGCATTGGCTAGAGGGAAAGGATATAGGTAGGAAACTTGTCTTTGACAATGTCTTTTACTTGTTAGACAAGAAGTGGGGCTTGTGTTTCTTGTTTAAGCCAGTTCTCATCTATTATCCCATGAACTTTAGATGAAGTAATATGATTCTTCTCCTTTTGAGCAGGCTTTCCATACACAAGCTTCTCAAAGGGGAGATTTCAGAGGTAGTAGAGGACGTGGCCCTCCTCGTGGAAGAGGAAGAAATAATGGAGGAAGTTGTCTTGGTCAGTAAGATGAAAGTTAGCCAAACAATGGAGGAAGAGGTCATGGTGTACGACAACAAGGTGGCAAAAAAAATGAAAGTCACTCGTCTAATTCAAATAGAGGAAGAGGGAAATGATGGTCTTCTTTGAAGAATACCCAATGCCATTACTATGAAAAATTTGGGCATGTCAAGAAATATTGTAGGAAAAAAATTGCAAATGAAGAGAAGAACAATTCCAGCTTTATGCCTGAGAAAGATCAAAACAAAGTTGATTCTTTGTTTCACACATACCATGAATAGGAAGCTTATTTTGATGAAGTATGGTATGTTGACAATGGTAGTAACAATCATATGACAGGAAATAAGAAGGCATTTGTGGAGCTAAATCAATCTACTCAAGGCGAAATTAGAACTGGTGATGATAAGAGGCTCTTCATAAAGGATAGTGGCATTATCCTTGTTCACACAAACAAAGGGGTAAAGCATATTTCTGATGTCCATTATGTTCTAGGCCTCAAGCACAATCTCTTGAGTGTTTTACAGCTTTTATTGAAAGATTATGAAGTCCACTTCAAGGAGGACATGTGTGAGATCAAAGACAAGACTGGTGTTCTTATTACTAAGATGAGCTCGACTCAAAACAAGATGTTTCCATTGAAGTTTCAAAATCAGTTTGGTTCTTGTTTCAACACTTTTATTAAGGACAAATCTTGGTTGTGGCACTTTCGTTTTGGGATTTGAGTTTCAACACTCTCTTTATAATGAGCAACAAGAATTTTGTGAATGACATGCCTAGTGTTGATCTACAAGGGAAATTTTGTGAAGGATGTGTTTTTGGGAAGCATCATAGAGATTCTTTCCCGATTTGAAAAGTAAGGAGAGCAACAAAACCACTTGAGTTAATACATTCAAATATTTACGGGTCAATGAACGTCACTTCAATTGGAGGTAATCGTTATTTTCTCACCTTTATTGATGATTATAGTAGAAAAACTTGGGTTTATTTTCTTAAAGAAAAATCTGAAGTATTTGGATGTTCAAAAAGATTTAAGGCTTTGGTTGAAAAACAAAGTGGTTTTGTGGTAAAAGTTTTGTGTACCGATCGAGGTGGTGAATACATTGATGGAGAATTTTAAAATTTTCTCAAAGAAAATGGAATTCAACATTAGTTTACTGTTTGGTACACTCCTCAACAAAATGGGGTTTTCAAAAGAAAAAATTGAACTATTGTGGAGTTGGCTAGAAGTATGTTAAAAGCAAAGAGAGTTCCTACTCTTTTTCGGGCTGAAGCTGTGGGTTGTGCTATTTTTCTTTTGAACCATGCCTCATCCAAAATTTTGGCAAATATGACTCCTCAAGAAGCTTGGAGTGGACACAAACCGAGTGTTGAGCACTTGAGAATTTTCCGAAGTGTTACATATTCACATGTGCCAGAAGAAAAGAGGAAGATGAAAAATGTATCTTTGTTGAGTATAGTGAAAGTTCGAAGGCATACAAGTTGTATAATCCAATCACCAAGAAACTTATTGATAGGAGAGAAGTGAAGCTTGATGAAGAAGAGTCTTGGAATTAGAATGGAAATGATGAGTTTGGAAATTCAAGTTGTGTTGAATTGGAAGAAGAATCCAATGACAAAATGTTAAGGTTGAAGGAAATGAAGAAGTTAATACTCCTCCAACTTCTCCACTTCCTACTCATTTGCATTCTCCTCCGTCGTCGTCATCTTCAAGTTCAGGTACAAGTGCGGCCCCTATAAAGACAAGAAGCATAACTGGATAAGAGAAGTGCTAGAAGAATGTTAGAAGAAGACTTGGCCTATTTATGTATGGAATCTAAGAGTTATTCATGAACCTATTTATTGTCTAGGTTTATGCACTTGTCTAGATACATGGTAGGATAGTCCTATAAATTGCACAAGTGTTTGAGTAACTTTAAGTTTTTTTTTGTCACCATTTTAGTTATTTATAAGAAATATTCAATCAAGAGCACAATTTATGTTGATCATTTTATTTCTTTGATCCAACATTCTTGAGCTTTAGAGGTGAGGGCACCTGCAAAAGTTTTGCAGATCACCTCTACAAAGCTTTGAAGAATGCAATATTTCACACATTCAGAGACTATGATGAGATGGAGAAGGGAGGAAATGTTTATACAAAGCATCATTGAGAAGGTGTTTTTATGAACTCATGACGATCCTTGAACACAAGATGACATTCCTTAAACACAAGAAGATGTCTAGACATGTAGTTGTACAGCAGCAACTGATGGCATGTGATGATGCACAAAATAGTCTCATGCAAGATCAACAGTTGAGTGTGTGATGTAGTGAAATTAATTAGACAATTAATCAAGCAATCAATGGCAAAAAGGTAAATATTGGGTTAACACGTAGATATATAATGGTTCCGTTAGAGTGACTTACTCCACTCCGAAAAATGGCAAACTGTGGCTGGAGAACCTTTATTAATAAAGTAAGGTGTGAGAGAGAAGAGACAGAAAGCAAAGGTTAGATTTGGGAGAGATACAATAATAGCTAAGAGAGAGAAAAGTTATGCGAGGGGTGTGTAGAGATGTAGAGAGGCAAATAGGTTTCTCTCTCAATGGAGAGAGCTTATAATTTATGGGCATGAAGTCCTTAGGGGAGGCTGTGACATGAGGGCAAATGTACTAGTTCTTCGGGGTGGATAACTACAAAAAGTAAGTACAATTAAAGGTAGTTTTGATCTTCGAGAGTGGATATCCCGACGATTACTCTCCACGTGCTCTAATCTTCTTGGACTCCTTGGATCTTGGACCGGGTTAGATTGAGGAATTGGATTGAACCCACAAGTTGGGTTTGACTTGCTTTGTGGCTGATTTGGGCTTAATTGATTGATTGGGCCAAACCCAGTAGGAATCGGGCTTGTCATTTGCCCCATGGCCTAAGCCCTGATTGTTTGTGAGAGAAGGAGATTGAGGGCATGAATGAGGTCTTTATTTGAAAAAGGTTTCTTGTTCCACACGGTAGCTTCTTTGTCTTCCCCGTTTTGCCATTGAACACCCATTATTTCAAACTGAAAAGAATTTCATGTCTAGAGAACCCTTTTTTCCCCATTTAGGGTAATCCTTACAAAGTCTCCAAGGACCATAGAAATAGATTTGGAATCACTTACCCTTCTTAGTCTTCCGTTGATTGAACTTCACTTTCCCCTTTACTCTTGTGCACCCCAAAAACCTCCCTATAAGAGAGGAAAATGGAGCTTAGAGTAAATTGGTCATAATTAAAACCTAGCTTTAATAATATTGTGACGAAATCTAGTGAAGCTTCATATCCACCAATGGAGACACCCATCATCGAAGACGAGAGATAGATCCATATAAGTAGCTCTAGAGTAGCTGCCCCGCCTAAACCTAGCGGGCTACTGGATAGAGCAAAGAATGGCAATGCCCTTAGCGACGTCAGAGGTGTGCCAATGGGATTCTTCAAGCCTAGGCAAATCAGAGGTAAGAGGAGTGGCGCCCACGGCACTGGCGACACTGTGGGAGGAGAAAGTAGGGGCGCCTATGGTGCTGGAGATAATGCCATAAAGGGCAAGGTGAGAAGTGGTTTTGGTGTTGTTGGTGACACTGTAGGAGATTAGGCACATAAAATGAAGTGGCGGAGGATGGAGGCATTAGCTCCATTGGCAATGGTGCTAGGAGCACAAGCAGCAACACCTTTCATGGGCTTGTCGACGCTGAGGTCTCATGCAAGGCCAGCTTTGGTAGGGTTCTAGAGAAGAAAGACGATGTGGGTGGAAGTCAAGTGGCAAGGGTTAGAGAGAGAAAGGACTAAAAGAGGTTGACATTGGGTTGGGCGGCGCCGGCTAGGCGCTGGGCCCAAATGAGCGAAGGCTAGGCGATGATGCCAATGGGCTAGAGGATGCCTTGCTGGGCCATGCTGGTAAGCGCGCGGGTAAGTCTGTCGGCAACAGTGGTATTTGTCAACAAGGGAAAAAAGATGGTGGACCAGGCCTAGTCGATGGCCATGGCGTTGTGACTGAGTTGGATTTTGGGCAGTTATCGGGCATCAGAAAGCAACAAGCAGATGTTCTTCAAATGGGTAAGATAGTCCAAGCCTCCGCTCCATGGACTAAGCATCAGAAAATCTCATATTAAAAGTCACGGAACATTATTTTGGGTCTAGTCATCATTCAGATCAAACACAATTAGACTCCACAAAAAGCCCAACAGACACTGGTATTCCCTTAACATTGACTTTGATTCTGTCTTAGTTCTATTTGTTGGCAGGCACCCACTCTGGCAAGGACATGATGAAGGCTGCTACATAAGGTATCCGACAAGGTAAAGGGATTGCTAGAGATGAAGGCTCAAAGGTGACTTCCATATGTAACTCCATTGACTGTGATGAAGATATTGTTCTTATTGTATCATCATACCATATCCTTCTTGCTGTCATGTGTCATCAGGCAGTGGAGGATAAGCCAGTATGTTGTGAGATTGTTCTTTATGAGGATGCCTTAGAGGCGGGTTTGAGGTTCCCCATACCTGGACCCATCTGTCGGGTTCTGGGACACCTATCGCAAGCTCCGGGAGATTGGCTCCCAATGGTTGGAGAGTGATCCTAGGTTTCTTCTCATTATGGAAATTGGTTCATGTTGGTAATGTTCCTCCCCCTTTCGAGGATATTTTGGTTACATACATGCTTCTAGATAATCCTTCTCCTCATCAAGGGTGGTGTCATTTTGCCCTAAGGTTAAGCAAGTTCATCATAGGACTCCCTTCGAATTGTTATAGCTGGAAGTCTATGTTCTTCTTTGTTAGAGGGGAATGGGCCGCCGAAGGAGACCGTGACCTTGTGCCTTCAAGGTGGGACACTATTCTAAAGACCAAGCTAGGTAAGAATTTCATTTTTGCTTTTACATCTGCTTGCCATATATTTGTTCTTACTGCTTGATTAGTAGTACCATTGTAGTTTCGCCCACATTATCTGCGGGATAGGAGAATAGACTCTAGATATTACATGACCATCCTTTCAAGGATTTTTCAGAGATCACGTCTATATCGAGTTGTTCTAGGGTCTCCCATAAGCCGAAGAGAAAAGGTATCTGATCTTTCCTATAAACTCTTCATGGTTACGACGTTGTAAGCTTTTTGTCTCACATCAAGTCTGCAAGTACCACTATTGATAAGGAATTGGTGGAGGCTCTTTACGCTTCCAACGTAGGGTCTTCCCCTCCTTTCTCTAAGAGGGCGAAGTTTGATACTCCTAGCGCTTCTCAATTGGGATCTATCGGCCTGGTGGTGGAGTCTATTGACCCGGTCGCTTCCTAGGGGGCAAAACTTGGTGATGCCCTCATTCCTTCCTCTGATGTGATCCCATCACCATCCAGAGCTCATGCTAGTATGGTTGTAGGGATCAAGCTCTAGTGCGGTCTCTTACAAGGATCGAGGCTCCACATAGTTGCCCTACTTCTAGCAGTGGTTCGGTATCCATGCTGTAGGACGTGAATCTGGCCAAGGAATGGCTTTGGGGGGTTGTGACCGCTGTGGAGATCCAAGAGGTCGGTTCTTGAAGTCCAGAGGGCATCATCAACATAGTGATGGAGGGCTTTTCTCTGGTATGCTCTTTTCTCGTTTTTGATTGTGTACCTGCTCCTTTTTCCTCATGTTCTACTTACTTGTAGGTGGCTGCTACTTTTTCTTGCTTTTTTTCAAGCATGATGAAGCTTGGAGAGACACTCAAAAGACAGGTACAAAAGGCTACTGAGGAGTAGTTAGGGCTCGAGAGCCAGGCGCGAGAAGCTACCGAGGAGCAGTCAAGGCTAGCACATGAGAGAGCTATCACACTTAAGACCGAGCTTCTGGATTTCTATAAGAGAGTCTCCCAGCTGGAGGCTAACAGAGAGGCTACCTACGCGAGAGTAGAGATAGAGCTGCATGCGTCCTGTAAGAAAGTCGCTAGAACAGAGGCTGACCTTTAAGCGGCTCTTGAGAGAACCACTAGGGCGGAGGCTTACTCTATTGAAATGGAGAAGAAGATGGATGCTATTGAGAGGGCCATGGCAAACACCTTTATTGATGGTTTTGTGGAGCTTAAGGGTAAGGTTTCAGCAGCTTTTCCCACTTATGAATTTTCTAGCTTTGTCCCCTATGAGGCTTTAGCGACTGATGATGACGATGCGAATGATGATAAGAGTAGATCAGGGAGCAGTGAGTAACATTAGGAGTATGGTATTTCTATCTCCGTGTTGCTAGGCACGTTCTATCTTTAGTAAATAGTTTATGAATTTTATGGAATGAGATACAACTTTTAAAGAAGTCTTGCAAAATTTTATTTCATAATCTGAAGTAAATAACAATGAAAACTGACCAAAGCAACAATAGACAATTTAAATAGTGACTACTGACTTATACACCCACTGTCTTTCCCCTAACTATTGGTAATATTTCTTTAGGTGTTTTGTGTTCCATGGATGGGCTAGAACTTTTCCCTCGGAATTCTGAATTCTATAGATGTCTGGTCTTACAACTTCTATGACCGTATAGGGTACTTCCCAATTAGGTCCTAGCCTCCCTTCCCGAGAGTTTTTGGTAGATAGGATTACATTTTTTAGGACTAGGTCCCTAGGCAAGAAGGGGCGAGGCTTCACCTTCGAGTTGTAGTACTTGGTTATGTGATGCTTGTACTCTGCAGTCCTAAGCATGGATATCTCCCTCTCCTCCTCTATCAAGTCGAGGTTAATTCGGAGACCTTTTTCATTACTGGTAAGGTCATGGTGCTGGACCCTAAGGGATTTTACCCTAATCTCAACGGGTATGACTGTCTTTGTCCCATAGACTAGGGAAAAAAGGGTCTCACCCGTGGGGCTTCTTGGTGTCGTCCAGTAAGCCCACAACACTCCTGGGAGTTCGTCTACCCATCGTCCTTTCGCACTATCCAATATGGTTTTCAAGTTGCGGAGGATGGTCTTGACGGTGACCTCCACCTTTTCGTTCACCTGTGGATGGGCCAAGCTGGAGTGGGACTACTTGATCTGTAGGTCAACACAAAAGCTGTTAAGGAGTTTATTGTCAAACTGTTTGACGTTATCACTTACAATTGCATGAGGTATTCCTAAGCGGTAGACTATATTCCTCAAGATAAAGTCTTTCACCTTCTAGTCTGTTATCCTTGCCAACACTTCAGCTTCTATCCACTTGGTGAAATAGTCAATGGCTATTACTACAAACTTGCACTGGCCTCAACCCAAGGGCAAAGGACCTAGGATGTCGATTCCCCCCATGGAGAAAGGCCAGGGCTCTGAATGGTGGTGAGCTCTTTTAGTGGTTGTCTAGGTACAATTGCGAAGCGCTAACACTTGTCGCAATTCCTGACGAACTCGTAGGTGTCTCTGATCATGGTAGGCCAATAATAGCCTTACCTCACTGCTTTGTGGGCCAGCATATTCCCTCCTAAGTGATTTCCACATATCCCCTCGTGGATTTCCCTCATTACATAATTGGCTTGCTCAGGGGTAAGACAACTGAGCAGTGGTAGGGAATAACACTTCTTATAAATGGTATTTTGCAAGATGACATACTTGAATGCTCTCATTCTCAACTTTTTGGCTTCCACTGGGTTGTCTGGGAGAGCTCCCTCCTCTAGGTAAGCTCGGATGGGAGTCATCCAGTTGGCTTCCGATGATGTACAATTAACATTGCCCTCCTCTGCCTCGAGCATGCTTGGCTAAAACTGGTGGCCTATAAGCGCTAGGCCCATAAGTGTGTTAGCAGATGCGAACTTGGCGAGGGTGTCTGCAATGACGTTCTCCTCTCTCGGCACGTGGTGGATCTAAAAGTGGTTAAACTTTTTAATATGAAATCCTTTCCTCCTTCACTTCAAAGTCCCCCTTTACCTGATTGACTCTACCCTGTGAGTCACTGTGGGCTGTCAGGCAGAGGGACTCTATTTCTAAAGCAACGTTCAAGTCTGATATGAGGGCCTCATATTCAACTGGGTTACTCGATGTCACAAAGTGGAGGGAGACATCGTATTTAAATGGAGTACCATGGGGGCTGATCAGCATTAATCCTGTGCCACCACCCTCGCTGGTGGAAGGCTCTAGTGGAGTAGGTACAAAAGAGCTAGGCGCCTATGACCTCAAAGTGAGGTCTCCAGGGGCCTGAGGGACTGTCTCCAAGATGTTTGTGTCTGAGCTTGCCTCATGGTGAGTGGAGACATTATGTACTAAGCAAATGAGAGCAAAGGTGCATAATACTTCGTCTTAGGATTCTTGTGATGGTGTAGACTCGGCCTTGAAGTCTGCATCTGCTTGCGCTTGGATGGTCGCCCTCGGCTGGCACTGCACGTCAAACTCACTTAACTTGATGGCCCATTTGAGTAGCTGACAGAACACATCGGGCTTTCCCATAATTCTCTTGAGTGGATGATCTATAGTAACCATGATGGTATGGCTCTGAAAGTAATGACGCAGGTTCTTGACGGGTGACAAATGCGAGAGCCAACTTCTCAAGCTCTTAGTATCTTACCTCTGCCCCCCCCCCTGATATGCCTTGCTTACATTGTACACAAGCTTTTGGACACCTCCATCCTCCCTAACAAGGACAGAGCTCACAATAAAGGACGAGGAGGAGAGGTAGAGATATAAGGTCTCTCTTGGTACACTGTGGGAGAACAAATAAGGTGCAACAAGGTAGGCCTTTAACTTCTGGAAGACCTCTTTTGCATCCAGTCCCCCACTATAAAGATTTACAGAGGATTTTAAAGAAAGGCAGAAACATGTCTGCTGACTTTGAGACAAACTTGTGGAGGGTAGTTATCCTCCCGTTAAGGCGCTGGGCCTCCTTCACCGAGGTCGGGGAATTCATCTCCAAGATAGCACTAATCTTGTCTGGGTTGGCCTCAATGCCCCTTTTGTTAATCCTGAAGCCCAAAATTTTTCCTAAACTAACACCAAAGACACACTTTTCAGGATTCGGCTTCATCCTGTAGGCTCTCAGTACATCGAAGGTCTCCTGGAGATGTCTCACGTGGTCTTTCGGCCGTGGGTAACCAACATAAATTAGATGTTAATTGGATGTGGATTTGATTAAATTGGATGTTCATCTGATGCAATTGGATGTTTATCTGATTAAATTGAATGTTAAGCACATGAAATTTGATATTAATTTGATGAATTTATAAAATTGAATTTCTAATTGATGCAATCGGTTGTTGATTTGTTGATATTGGATGTTGATGTGATGAAATTGGATATTTATGTGATGAAATTGGATATTGGCATGATGAAAATTGTGTTGAATGTATGAAATTGAATGTCTAATTTAT